TGCCACTGCACTCCAGCCTGGGCAAGAGCGAGACCCTGACTCAAAAAAAAAAAGGAAAAGAAACAAAAAAAAAAGGTCTCACCCTGTCTCCGCGATCACAGCTTACCACATCCTTGAACTCCTGGACTCAGGAGGTCCTTCCACCTCTGCCTCCCAAGTAGCTATGATTACAGGAACATGCCACCACGCTCAGCTAATTTTCTTTAGAGACAAGGTATCACTGTGTTGCCTAGACGGATCTCCAAGTTCTGGGCTCAAGCAATCCTCCAGCCTCGGCTTCCCAAAGTGCTGGGATTACAGGTGGCTCTGACTCTGAATAAAAGAACTGGAATATTATAGTCAGGCCCAGGTCCCTTTCACTGTCCTAAATGAAGCTTCACTTTGAGTCATCATCTCTCTAGTAGTCACAGCAACCCTGCTAGAACAGCATCTCCTCCACTGGTGATCTTGTCAAATCAGTTGAAGGTCAGCCTCCTCCTCCCAGGAGCAGTTTGGGGTTGCTTTTGCTCACGATGTTCTCTCCCTGCTCTGACTCTACTCTCTGTCTGTCCCACTTAACATTTTCCTACATGTCTATGCAGATCAGGTATGTCCAATCCAAGGCCCACATGCGGGCCAGGACAGATTGTAATGCGGCCCCACTAAATCTTTTAAGATCATATGTTTTTTAGCATTTATTTTCTTTGTGACCCCATAAGTAGTTCCATTTTTGAAGTTTATAATCACACCTTACCCATGACATCACTTTTTGGCAACACCTACATTTGTGAGCAGCTGTTTTCAGTTATGAAGCATACAAAGAGCAAAATTCGAACAAACATTTCTGATGAGCACCTTGAGAACTCACTAAGAATTGTGACCACTTCCATTGAACCAGACAATGATAGATCAGTTTTACAAAAACAAGGTCAAATTTCCCATTAGTTTTATATTGTTCTCATTTTTCTAAACTTTATAATAAAAACATAAAAAAGAAGTTTTATTATGTATATATATTACATATATAATTTATGTGTGGACCAAGATAATTCTTTTTTTTTAATTTTCCGAGTTAGAGTCTCACTCTGTCACCCAGACTGGAGTGCAGTGGCCGCTCCCAGCCACCGCAGCCTTGACCTGCTGGGCTCCAGCGATCCTTCCTCCTCAGCCTTTCAAGTAGCTGGAACTACAGGCGCCCACTACCACGCCCGGCTAATTTTTTGATTTATTGTAGAGATGAGGTCTCACCAAGTTGCCCTGGCGGGTCTCGAACCCGCGGACTCAGGCAATCCACTCACTTCAGCCTCTCCTCAGCCTCCCAAGGTGCGGGATTACAGGCTGAGCCACCAAGTCCAGCGGACCAAGACAATTCTTTACTCAATGTGACTCAGGGAAGCCAAAAGCCAAAAGTCCAATCTAGATGCACTTAGAGCTGGTGCATTTTACTTCAATGCTGCAACCTGGATTGGTGTTATTCACTCTTTCCTGCCCTTTAATTCAATAAGATACTCCAGGCCCTAAAGATAAAGAAATGATTAAATCCTAGCCCTACCCTGTGGGGCTCAGTCTAATGGAGGATGTATAATACAAAATAAAATTCGACAAATTTGCCACAATAGGGTACACAATTTGATCCAAAACAGTATTATCAGCCGGGCGTGGTAGCGCATACCTGTAATTCTGGCTACTCGGAAGGCTGAGGCGGAAGGATCGCCGGAGCCCAGCAGGTCAAGGCTGCGGTGGCCGGAAGCGGCCACTGCACTCCAGTCTGGGCGACAGAGTGAGACTCCAACTTAAAAAAACAAAAATAAAAACAAAAACAAAACAAAACAAAACAAAAACAAAAAACAAAAGAGTATTATCATATTGCATATTGTTTATTGTCTTTATATCCCTTAGCTCAATCTGTGGCTGTTATGTTTGTTCATTTACTTACGTCAGTCTGTTCCCACTAAATATGAGTCTGGTTCACCACTTTTTAATGAGTGTGTCTTGAGCACAGAGACACACTCACTTAAAAGCTGTATTGGTGGCCAGCATGGTGGCTTACACCTGTAATCCCAGCACTTTGGGAGGCCAAGGAGGGAGGATTGCTTGATACAAGGAGTTAGAGACCAGCCTGAGTAACACAGCAAGACCCCATCTCTACAAATAATAATAAATAAATAAATAAATAAATAAATAAATAAATAATCTCGAAAAGTTGTATTTGTGGAAGGAGGTAAAGAGAGAGGCAGGGAAGTATCAGAAACTATAAGCACTAAGCCCAACTCTGAGGTTCGGGCAATGTTTTTATGACAGGGAGACCTGGCTAAGATCTGAAGTGTAAGAGCCAGAGAGGAAAGGGGTGAGGCACAGTCCAAAAGAGAAAACATGATGAGCAAAGGAAAGAATGGCAAATCAGCACAACAAACAGAGTGGGGCAGAGTCCTCAAATATTTCTGTAAATCAGTTGTTCTTAAAATGGGTAATTTTATCCCCAGAGGCTTTTGGCAATGCCTGGAGCCATTTTTGATTGTCATGACTTGAGGCAGAGGATGCTGCTGCATCTACTAGGTAGAGTCCAGAGATGTTGCTAAGCATCCCACAAGGTCCAGAGCAGCTCCTTCACAGTCAACTGACCTAACGCATCAGCAATACTGATATATGCCAACCCGACTGCAGGCTATCATTCAAGGGATGGGCTGGTCAAAAAAGCATAAGTTGCTTCTAAAGTTTGCAATTTCCACTCACACCTAACGTCTTCTTTTGATTAGAATCTGGACCAAAGGAGTACTGGCTTGCCACCTCCTACAGTCTCTGAGAAAGGAAATATTCAGCAAGAAGTGTCCAGAGCCTAAGGGCACACATCAATTTCCTTCATCTGCTGGATATCCACCAGGACACATCCTTTTCTCTCTAAGTTCTAGGACTCCAAACTACTCATCCACCTGCAAGATAAAGAGATGTAGAGAGATGAGGAAATGAGAGGTGCCCAGTAACAATGGGTAGATGGACAGATGGGCAGATGAACAGATAAAGATGTGTCTGGATAGCAAAAGACTGAGTTCTTGGAGCTCCAAGGGTGTGTATCTGTCCCATGTGCTTCTCCATGAAGGCAGGGTTGGTCCAGTGTATCAACATCCTCGAGCCGTGTTATGAGGGTGTCATGAAGAATGCATTAAAGAGGTTATCTCCCCAGACTCTGAGCATTAGCAGGGTGTCAAGCAGCTGAACTCATGGAGTGGGAGGAGCCGGGAGGTCAGTGAAGACAAAACCCGTTTGTCTAAAAGGAGCAACACATTGGTGGGCTGAACCTGCACTTGACAATGAAACCTATGGTGGCTCCAAAACATGTTAGGGCCTGACCCTGTGTTCAGTTTCTCAAGCTGCCTCACAACTGCTCCTCTTGAGCTAAAAAACTCTAACATGTATTTGCTTACTTTTGCCCCTGACAAACAATTCTGTATCTCCAATATTATCTGAAATGCCTGAATTCTGACTCTAAAAGGAAAAAAAATAAATCACTGTTTTTTTTTTCTGTTGTAGAAGATCCAGTAGTGTTATATTTCTAAAGAGTAGATCCAAGACACAAGTGCTATCACAAATTCCACTGTGACAGAAAGCTTTCCAAATCCCCTCATCTCTGAAGTGGGCACAATCCTACCCCCCTAACATCCTTACTAATACACCTTAAAAGGACTCATTTAATAAATAAGAAACATCAAGAAGTGAATGTCATGGATGAAAATTCAATTTACATCTATCTTTCCATGGAAGAGTCTGGTGGTCAGAGCATCAAAAGCCAGGAAGAGTATTCTGTCTATGCAGAGCAGGACACTCTTCCCAGTCCCAGACAAACATGGGCTTTATGCCTTATATAGTGACTCTGTAAGGAGCTGGGGAAAAGAGACAGACTACCGCAGCAAATCAAAATGGAAATTGAAGTACATCTGTTACAATTCTAAGCAAGATTTTCAAAGTAGAAAAATATCAGTACAGGCAGTACCCAATATGGAAATGAATTGTCTTGCACATATTCATTTATAAGCAAGGTGTCCAGAACTTGGAATGCAAACTGTATTTTATGTCCCAAGCCAGCCCATAGAAGCTAATTGAACTTACAATATATTTGATACACTACATATCTAGAGTTAAACTGATAAAAACAAAATGAAAACTAAACAAAAACCAACGCTTTGATGCTACTTTTAAAACATATAAAAAATACTTTAAAAAAACAAATATGCAGTTCATGATTAGCCTTGACCTGAACCCTAAACCATGAGCTGGGCCTTGGATGCCCTGTGATCCAAGTTGTTACTGAAATGGGGTCCTGAGAAACAGAGGGGAAGAATGAGAATTACCCCAGCCTCAAAGGCAAAGGAATTCTGGTGGGAGAAAAAAGTAGACAAGCATCTCTCAGCTGGAAGAGGAGTGTCTGGTACCTACCCACAGCATATTCTAGAAAGAAGTGCTACCTTTCACTGCTAAAAGGACACAGGTATGAACAGAGGCCACCTGCTGACTACTGTAGCTGGCAAAATGAGTTGCAATGAAGACAAACGAGCCAGCCCCCTCCCACAGCACTAGCAGATGAAAGAGGATGGGAACTCCCAGCATGCTCTGCAGCAGCATGGATGGCCAAGGGTATTAGGAGGCCAGAAGGAAGATGTTCCTACAGTTGCCCACAGTTGGTATAAGAACTGTCCAGGGGCCACATGTGATTCTAATAGATCTGAATAGATCTAATAGGTCAGAAGGAGCTTCTTGAGATTTACAAAAGTGAAAACTGAACTAACTGACAAGGTTACATCATCAGATTTCTGGCATCTTAAGAAGAGAACAAGGGACAAGAGCATACAAGACCCTGGGAATGCCTTCTCCAATACAGCACACTCACACCTTTGCAGCAGAAAAAGCACTTCATTCCAGATTGTTGCTGGATACTATACCTGGGTCGACTCCAAATACAAAAGTGATGTAAAATATTTAAGTCAGGTTTGAAAACTGAAAGGGTTTATCATTCATCCACTTTGTACCTTCTTTAATCCTCCAAATAAAGCATCAGTCTCCAGCTCAAATTCTTGGTCCAGTTCCTCTTCATGTTCTGACAAGAAAAACAGCCTCCATTAGTCACAAATCTAAAGAAAACTAGGTTGGCTGAATAGCAGAAGCACTAAAAGAAATTGGAATATGTCCTGGAAAAGCAGCGTGTGGACTAAGCCGCAGGCATGGAAACATACCACACTCCTTGACCTTCCTTTCAAGTGTTTTGTGACCTAAGTTTCTGGAAATATAGAGTGGGACTGATGGAAATTCAATTTGTAATAAGGGTCACAAAAAAGAGAGGGGATCAAGGTAGAAGAGCTTCCAACATAGGAAGACAAGGGAGGGGTTGATATCGATGCCCCATGTGTACAGGCTGTCAGAAATTTTTACACAGACCATGCCACAAAACTATGGTGATCATAACTGTATTATATAATGCAATGATAACAAGATAAAATACATGGAATTGCCGGGTGCGGTGGTTCACGCCTATAGTCCCAGCGGTGGTTCACGCCTATAGTCCCAGCACTAAGGTGAGAGGATTACCTGAGCCCATGGGTTCGAGACCAGCCCGGGCAATTTGGCGAGACCTCATCTCTACAATAAAGTTAAAAAAAAAAAAAACACAAGCTGGGCTCGGTGGCTCAGCCTGTAATCCCACGCCTTTGGGAGGCTGAGATGAGTGGATTGCCTGAGCCCGTGGGTTCGAGACCCGCCTGGACAGCGAAACCTCATCTCTACAATAAATAAAAAAATCAGCCGGGCGTGGTAGTGCATGCCTGTAATTCCAGTTACTCAGAAGGCTGAGGCGAAAGGATCTCCGGAGCCCCCAGCAGGTCGAGGCTGCGGTGGCTGGGAGCGGCCACTGCACTTCAGTCAGGGTGACAGAGTGAGACTCCAACTCAAAAAAACAAAAAATAAAAAAAAAAACCCACAAAAACTGGATGTGGTGGCACATGCCTATAGTTCTAGCAACTTGAAAAGCTGAGGCAGAAGGATCATCTGAGCCCAGCAGGTCGAGGCTTCTGTGGTTGTGAGTGTGCCACTGCTCTCCAGCATGGGTAACAGAGTGAGACACCAACTCAAAAGAAAAAAGAAAGAAAAAATACATGGAATCATATAATGGTAATAAGCATGTTTATAAGTAAACAACACAAGAAATTTTAAACAAAGGATGTAATAAAATCGTCTGTAGTCTCAGTTATTCAGAAGGCAGAGGTAGAAGGATGATTTGAGCCTAGGAGTTTGAATCAGCCTGTGCAACATAATGTGGCTCTGTTTCTTAAAAAGAGAGCGGGACGGGGAGAGCAAGGGAGAGAGGGAGAGACAGACGAAGGAAGGAAGGAAGGAAGGGAGGAGGAGGAGGAAGGAAGGGAGGGAGGGAGGGAGGGAGGGAGGGAGGAAGGAGAGGAGGAGGAGAGGGAGGAAGGAGGAAGGAAGGAATACAAACATGTCTTAAAGGTATACAAAATAACCAGGCACGGTACAAAATACTAGGAATAAAATAGGACCAGATTGGTGTGACCTTTGGGGTTTACTGTACACTTTCAAAGATGGACAAACAAAAAGAAATTGCAGTGGTGCCTATGATGCCATGATGCCGGAAGGAGTGCTATGGAGGCTGATTTTGAGGTGTCTGTGATGCCCAGTAGGGAGCCTGATGGGTGTGAGTGGCACGCAAAAGAATGCCCCGAGCTGGAAATAAAGACCTAGAAATCCTCAGTGTACACTATCAGAATAGCTGAGATTCCCCCAAAAAGGATCAAAGAGGGTATATATAAGAAGTAGGAAAAATCAATCAGATTTTTTTTATAATTGAAGTATTATTTATTTTTTGGCTGAGTAACCTTCAATCAACAAATCAGTTATAAAAAAATTATTTGCCCAAGTTATACAAATTATGCTACCAAAAAACAAAATTTTGCTTAAAGGATAAAAGTTACTGTAACCACTAAGTAACATTTAAACTACTGACAAAAAAGACTTTTATGTACAAGACACAAACAGTCTGTAATTAATACTTTAGGAAAGTTTACAGCCATATTCCTCAAGTTTATACAATAAAATTTTAAAACCCAGAGTAGCCTATAATTCACAGAGATTGTCAATCAAGAAAATGTATTCTTGCCCCATTCTACACTTAATTACTAAAACAATACACTTCCCATTGTAACAGAAATACACTGAAAGATTTCTCTCATTTCTATAGACCAAATTCAACATTTTGATAAAAATGGAAAAATGGATTCATTCACACAACCTCAGCGGTCTTCCCCTTGACTCTTCTGGATGGCAACTAAGCCTCAAGCTGAGTTCAGCTCCTCCAGGCAACACCATTTAAAAAGAACCCTTCTGGTTCTTTCTCTCTGGCTGAATGTCTTCTTTGTTGTAATGCTGCGTTGGCATGTGGATCTGCTGAAGGCCACAGAGTGACCGTCTGTGTGGGCCTGCAGTCGGGCTCTGGGGTCTGCAGTGGCTGCGCTGGTGAATTCTTCTGGATTCTCTGGCAAAGGTTTACTAGGGTGATGATCTTTAGCTGACCAACGGCAGCCACTGTGGCTCCGGCCCTTGGCGGTCAGCTCGGGCCCGCGGCCGCGCCCGCCACCGTGCTCTTCTCGCAGCCCATGCCGCGCGAGGCCTTGCAGGGACGCGCGAGGCCGAGGGACGCCAGATTTTTTTTTTTAAAAACCTATCAGACCAATAAAACTATAAAAAGTACAGGAAACCAAAAGGAGCTACCTAGAAGGAAAACCAGGAGTGAGTGCTGTCACTAAAACAGAATCACGACATGACGGTTTCAGAGGTGGGCCAAGGGGCAGATTCACACACACTAGATGCAAACAGCAACCCCAGCCCCAAACCATAGGTGACATAGAACTTAAGAACAACAGAAAAAGGTACACAGGGCACAACTTGGGAGCCCCATCCACACTGCATTCCACGTGTCACTGGGAGTGCCATGAGGTATGTGATTGTAGTAGGGCACTGGTCCTCATACAATTGAGAATTTCCATTTCAACTCCTAAGACACGGTTTTAAGCCTTTTTCTCACTTAGTCTACGCTTTAAAGATTTTTTCCCCCCCATTTCTAATCTAATCATGTAGTTTCTTGAGAAATTCCAGAAGCTGTTCCAGAGGCTAACCTCCGAATAACAGAGAGTGAAGATGCCCCAGCGGAATTCTCCATTGTTCGGAGGTCACCTGAAGGCCATTAATCTACAACCTGGCCACAGTCAGGGTGGCATCAGCCAGATCTCCAGGTGACAACAATTCAAGATAACTGTGGAAGCAAGATCTGCTTCCCATGCTGTTCCCTGACACTCCTTATTCCATTCTTTCCCTTTAAAAGTTCCCTCTCCTCTGTCTACAATTTTGAAATAATTTCTTTGAGGCAAGCCTGGCCATCCCTCCATCTGCTGGTTTTTGGAATGAAGTCATCTTCCTTCCACTACATCTCCTGCTTGTTTCTTTTGACCTGCAAGCAACAGGTAGAACTTGCCATTGGCAACACTCTCGGTTACAGCTGCACACGAGGGCACACTGTACATATATGTTTGTGTTTGCCCACATCTGTATGCATGAGTGTTGCACTGCATACAGACTCAACTCCAAGGGAACAGGGAACAAATGACAGATTATGCAATCCATCAAAGAAGTAATAGAAGTCTTTGAATTCATTAATATAAAGAAGACAGAAAACCTTTCTACCTCTTCCCTTTTATGTTTAGGCTTCACTTTCACACAAAGTGCAACCTCCAGAAACCTTGGAATTATGCAGAAGTAAAGCAAAGCAAAAACATGAGCTTTTTTTCTGGCTTTTTAAAGAGTTCATTCAAAAGTAGTGAGGCTTACAAGCTAACCTCAGATTTCCTGAAGCTGGAATATATCTCCCTCTAGTGGGAAAAGGAACACTATGCAGACAGGAGAATCACAATGAAATCCTGCCCCATGCAGTACAACAGAAATACAGTATGTGCCACATTTATAATTTTAAGGTTTCTAATAGCTACAGAGTTTCAAAAAAAGGAGCAGGTGAAATTAATTTTATTATATTTATCCCCATATATCCAAAATAGCATTTTAATATGAGACCAATATGAAACAATTATTAATGAGTTATTTTACATTACCTTTTTTTTTTTTACTAATTCTTCACAATCCAATGTACACATTCTTTTATAGCACACCTCAATTCGGATTGGTCATATTTCAAGTGCTCACTAGCCAAACATGGCCAATGGCTACTGTATTGGACAGCACAGGTCTAGACCAGAAATCCTTCTGCATGTTTTGGGAAATTTCTACAAATTACCCTTGTCTGATTTCTTGACACAAATGCTATATGACATAAATTTTAAATGATAACTTTTGAATCCATTCCTAATCCCTTTGGAAATCATTGTCTTCAGACTGTCATAAGTTAGCTGAAAATTCACGGCTACAGAATGTAGTTGATACAAGAGAACAGACTGTGAGAGCCTGCAGCAGATCTTTCCATGAAGAGCAATGACCCTCTGAATTTCTCTGATTATACCTTCTTAAGTAGGGACCCCAGAACCCCAATCTTTGAGCAGGACTGGAGTTTTCATGATAACTCAAATACAGTCAAGCAAGAAGCTGCTACAAATAGAAAGAAATCTCTGTGCCTGGGCACTCTCTCCTGAGCACATAGGACTGAGTGTCGGGCAGAGCCAGCTCTAACTTCTAGTGCCCTGGTTCCATTTCCCAAAATTCAATCTTCCACAAAACTGCCTGAGAGTATAGAAATGAAGCAATTTCTGCTGATGAACCCTGATTACTACATTAGCTGTTGAGTCTTCCCTCCAACAAAAGGATACATCAAAGCTCCATCCTACCTACCCAGTGAAAGGATGTGCATTTTAATCATGCCAATGAGCCGTCGTGGTAAACCATTTACTAAAAACCTCTAACCAACCTACCCTTTTCACCTTCAACATTTTGATGGGAAATTAATTCTAGGGTGAGGGTAATTAGAGGCAATAATCAGGAAGAGAGGAAAACACACACACACTCTAATGTGATACAAGCCACAGTCAG